TACTTTGTGATGAGACCTGAGGGTTTTCTTTACTCCTTTTTGAAAGTGTATGTGTATTCAGCTAGGTAGCTATTCCATTTCCCCCTTTTGATAATATAGCCACCTGCTGCTGTACACATCATGGATTAACTGGTGTGAATTAGTTGACTTTATTTGTAGTAGAGCATACTTTTTTCTTTCTTCAGTTGTGGTTAAGGGATTCTTCCTTGCAGTGTTTAGGGAAAATACTGCTAGATTTGCATAACTTGAATTATTGGAGCTCTGATTAATGTTAACAACCACATATCGTGTGCTTCAGAACTGAAAGAGTTTGAAACCAACTTGCAGTATTGCTTTTAAAAAAAAGGTCTTGGCATCTCATAGCTGAAGTATCTCTTGTCTTCTTATGCAACTTGAAATTTAATTTTTGATATTAAAATGCCACAAAAATGTCATTGGTGTAGTAGTAAAAATAGATTTTGCGTATTTTCTGAAATGTGGAGTGTGAGACATAAGTGAGAGAATTTCTGTGAGCAGTAACAGAAATATTTTTCTCAGTAGAGGATTGAGTGAAGAACAGAGAGGTCAATTTAAAAACCTTTCATTTTGTGTGATTACAGCCATGCTGCAAATGCCATTTCACTATAAGGGAGGACTTTAAAATGTACCTTACTTCTTGATTTGTGCTGCAGGTCAGATTAACTAAAATGGTTATTGTGTCACCCTAGAGATTCCTGCTTGCTGCAAGACCAGACTTTAAACCCTATTTTTATTATTAAAAAGGCCAGCAGCAACAAAGACTATTTTACAAGTTCTGAGACGTTTTCATAGCAATTTGATCTTTATACACAGGTTTTTAGAACTCTTTGTACTGTGATTCTTAGCATATGTAAAAATCAGAAAGAGGGGACAAGGGGCATGAACGTTCATTTGTTTCTTGCCTGGAGACTGTCCCTTCTCAATGCCCTTCTTGAAGAATGAATTTTGAACAGAACATGTGTTGGACTCCTGTGTTGTGGTGGACCAGCATCATCTTTCAGCAGATGAAGTAGGTCAGGTTGAGGGGAAACCTGCTAGTTTGCGATTCCCCCTGTTCCTCTTGAATGGCCATTACACACTTTTATCTTCAAGGGAAAAAAAAATAATCTGCTTTCAGGAGACCAACCTAGGTATGGGAGTTCCTCTTTGTTTGTTTAGTCAGAGACACTGTTATTAGTAAAACAGGCCCATAGAAGGGAAACAATACTAGATGCAGCTTCTCTGTGTTATATTTGAATAAAATATATGTACTACTTTTACTGTCTTTCACTTGCTGCAGTGATCTTTCTGCCCTAACTTGTATGCTACAAAACTGTCTGTTAAAGAAATATTTGACTCAACATAGTTGCTTCTTGCTCTTTCCTAATCTCTGGCAGTAGTTAGCCAGTCAGTATCCTCAGGTATCCCTTGATGTTATCTGCTCATCTTCTCCTTATCCTGTGCTTTTAACTGCTCACACAATGATTGGACATTTAATCTCTCGCATTTTAATGGAGCAAAACTTGATGAAAAGATGGTTTTGCTGGCTTCAGCAGGGGAATTTGGATGCCTGCCCATATGTCTTAATGGGGATCTGTTGAGTCCATTATGGAGATTGTTTAAATTCATTTGTCTTAATTATGTTCTCAGAAAAATCCCCGAGATGTCAAGAATGCAACAAGACTATGAATTCTTTTTTTCTTTTGCTCCAAAACCCTGATGAGATTCTTCCTGATTTGAAAAATCCTTTGACTGCTTATGAGGTGGAAAATATATTGGGTAGAGAGATGATGGTAACGACATGCACTTCTGGCATTGTCTTGGGAACTATGTGATCAAAGATGCATCAGTTCTGTTTCTAGAAAGAACACCTTTTTCATACCATCCACCAAGTGTCATCCCATCCTTGTAGTGGTAGGTTTTCTGTCAGCATTGCCCTCAAGCAGCAGTGCTCGCTCCTGCAAGGCATCTGTGTCGGCAGCAATGCTTTGTCAGCTTGAATTGTGTGGGGTAAATGGTGATGGTGCCCAGGCGCTACCCAGTCCTCAGCCAGAGCAGCAGTCTGGTAGTCCACCAAGAGGCACTCAGCGCACCCAGTACCTTACACTCTGTGCCGATGCCAACCCAGAGCCCCCTTGGTATTATTTAATTCATATCTCTGCCTCTTGTCCTTTGTCTTTACCATGGCTGCCCATCAACATCAGCTGTGAAAAGAAGAGGGTCTTATGCTGCTTCAAGCCACTGACCAAATGTTCAGCAGCCACCTGTTTTTCACATGTCTCACTGTAGTGAAGCTAGTTAGTATGTGTTTTGGAGGGTTGAGGGAGAGGGAGGATGTTTTCTAATGACTCTCAAGAATGGAAGCACAGGATTAATAAAGGCTTTTGTTTTGCTTTTTCATTTCAAATTTAATGGTTTTAAAAGTCCTTTTCATTTTAAGTGTAATGATTCTTAAAGTAAAGCAAGCCATCTTTCCCCTTCTAGTTTTCTTTGTCACTGGAGCCTTTTGGAATTTAATCTGCCCCCAGAGGGATGCCATGTGCATGATGTGTTGGAATGCCCCTGCTCATGGCAGGAAGATGTGGCCACTGTGACTTCTTCTGCAATGCTAGAAGGAAGGTGTACTTCCACAGGGATGGTCCATAGCTGCCTGGAAGTGGGGGTGGATACAGGTGTTGGAGGCCTGGGCAGATGGGGCTGGAAGTCAGCACATGTTTCTGCCGAAGAATCTCAGTGGATTTTTGCTCCCAGTTAATCCAGGAAGTGATGAAGATGTTGTGTAAAAATAGTTCCTAGGCCTCACTGTTTCATAGAGTTTGTGAAGTTTAAAGTTACTTTTTCAGATTTCGTCTTATTTTCCCCCATCTCTGATTAGTTGCAATGTGTTCCTGAACATAAATACACATATTTAAGATTGAAATCAAAGGGAAGTTTTTCTTAAACATTTCATGCAAGTAGGCTGACTGGACGTAACCTCAGACAATAGCAGAACACTTCGTTTTCAAGTTCAAGGGACATAAAACCTTACGGTCTCTAAAATATTCATGGAAGTAATATGGTATACTTCGGAAAAAAAAAAAGCCCCACTCAGAACTGAATGAATTTGAAAGAATAAGTTTATAAGTGTTTACACTGGACAAAAAGTAAGAATAGTGTGTGTGGTAAATGAATGATGGTATCTAGAAGTACTACTACATCTCAGTAAGCAAAAGCCTATGTAGTGTGATGAAAGCTGACTTTTTGTAACTGAAATATTTGTCTCATCTTCAAAAAAAAACCCTAAAAGACACTAAACCCCCCAAAAAAATGGCTCTCAACATATCTGTGTCAGTCTTGCATTCTCTGACTTTTGCTGTAAAAACTTGAGCATGTCTGTAGTTTGAGTCTTACGGGGGTGGATGTCCTTTTAGGGATCTTGCCCTGAAATACCATTTAAATAGCCAGCTGCTGCAGTACTTGATGTGAAGCTGCCAGCATCACTAAAGTAAGATTAAATCCACGTATCTGAAGTAAAAGAAGACTTGCAAAAAACCCCACACAAAACCCACCAAGCCAAACAGCCCTCCTCCCCAAACCACCCCCCACAAAACCCCACAGTATTTCTTTATTGTGGACTCATCTTTATTTAAGTAGTAACAAGTGAGGGAGTAGTGCCATGTAGGTGCTACAAGCTCAGTTCTTACCCACTGAATTTCTCTTCCCTAAGTGGGATTTCTGAGAGCTGAAAAGCAAGCCAAAGCAGTGTATTGCAAGCTTAGTAAGCAAAATATTTGTACTGAATGAGAAATTCCAATAAATTAAATGTTTTTATGATTGTGGGGGGTGAAGGGGAGTAAGAGGGTAGAATTGGATGCTTGGCAACCATGATATGGCTGTAATTTCTTTAAAGATATGCACACATATCTATACAGTATATTCCTATCCGGACAGTTCCATGAATCCTGGGAATGGGGAGAAGGGGATGGGCTAAGGAGCTGTTCTAGCTGCATGTCAGATCATCTAAAGTTTAACATCAATCCCAGAGGTTTGTGTTTAAGGACAAACTCTACCTGAGTGAATAGAAGAGCTTCCTTCTCTACAGAGAGAGCATTCCTCTCCACCCATGGTCCTCGCTGGACAGCTGGCGGATCTGAAAACAGAGTGGTTGCATTAGTGAGGTGGCCAATCCAAGCTAGCAAGACTATTAGCAGACTTGACTGGGTTGAGCTCCAGAGCAGCTGGCACCTATAGTTATTGGATAGAACGAAGTAGTATGTACCTCAAAATGCAGAAATTAAAAACTTTTTCTTTTTTTAAAAAAACCTTTTGATTATGGCTTTCTCTTCCATCCCAAGTTTACCTAACCCAGGTAGAGGTTGTTTCTAAGGATTTCCTTGTGTTGGAACAGTTTTTGGAGGTGAGCAAAAATAAACCTATGCAGCATATCTCTAAATTGCTTTAGATATGCCTGAACATTCAAATATGTGCTGGGAAAAGGAGTAATTTCAGTGAACTGACAGTATCCTGTTCAGCTGGATAATAAGATGTTTCAGGATGCAATGCTGAGTGCTGGGTCCAGGTAATACAGCATGAACAAATTGAGTTTCTTGCTTGTGCAGTCATGAATTGAGACTTGCCCAGTTCACGGAACTCATTAACTTCAGCTTTTAATACTAATCCAGCCTCATAAAGCAGTTCTGATCAGTATTTTTTGTTAATCAGAAATGGTAAAGCTTATGAGCTGAGGAACCAGCAACAAGGCTCCTGTTAAGACTGCACTGATACCACACTATAGTCTCCATAAAAATTGTTACTCTACACCGTAGGGCCATTAGCATTTCAAGACTGTTAAGCATGACAGAGTATTGGAATCTGTCAAAAACATCCAGAAAGATGGGAAAAGATGCTGCGTAGTACATTGTTTCAGTAGGGACTGCAGAGCCATCTGAAGATGCCATAAAGAGAGCAAGACTATTAGGATACTGTATATCATAATTAATGTAGGTATTTTCTTTTTAAATTAGATGCAACAGTTGGAGTTAGCACAAATGCAGCAAAGAGAAGCCAACCTCACAGCTTTGGCGGCCATTGGACCAAGGAAGAAAAGACCATTGGATTCATCAAACGTTGGATCTGGGCTGGAGGTACAGAGATAACTTGCATGTTGTTGTGTCTTCATACTGAATTATTTTTATCCTTCCCTGTAGGAAGAAGTGAGAATTCTCTTATGTGAAATGGCTGGTTACATACTGTAAGAAGATAGTCTGTGTGTTAAATACTTGAAAGGATTGTTTCTGGTGAATTTGATGGGGATGATTAATTGTGTGTTATAAGAAACTGTGGATAAGAGCACTGTGTGTGAAGGGCTGAACGAAAGGATGTCTTAGAGAAACTTCCATCTGCACTGGAGGGTAACAAAGCTGTGGTGGTCTTCCACAGCAGCTAGTTGTCATGGCCCCTCAGTTGAAGTCATGATGGCTCTTTTGAAATGGCTCTTGCTTTGATATTTGTCTGTGGATTTTTTTCTATACACAAGGCATAGGGACTCTTTTCAAATACACTGTGAGTTTGCCTTGTCTAGATCCCCTCCAAAATCAATCAATAAATAAAGCTAGACCATTCTATTCCTGCAATGAGCCTGATCACTTTTTCTGGCTCATGCTGCATTTTAAAAGTGCCTTGAAGGTGCTTTTAACAAATCTTGGTCTGAACAAATCTCTTAATGTTGTGCCAGAGATTTAACTGTTTCTGGGACCTGGGAAGTTTACAGGACTGCAGAAGTTCTTTCTGAGGAGACTGACAGCCTACTTCTGTTAGTGATCACCTTGGCTAGAGACAGGAGAAATGTGTTGCAGACTGTTATTCAATTGTTGTTGCTAGTTTTGCTCTTCTTTCTCATGAAACCTCAGCATCACTCAAGTGAATGTCTGATCGGTTTGTGACCCAAGCACAGTGAACAGAAGCTTGGGAAGTAACTCTTGCATGGAAGAAGTGGTGGGAAAGTTGTCCTTATGATAAACCTTGTCTTTCATTCTTGTGTACCAGGAGGCTGAAATAGATGCTAGGACTGAAAATACTCCAGCGTTTTTGCATATTGGAGTCTGGAAGGACCTTGTATAAAGCTCAATTATTTGCAATATAACTGAGGTAATGCTGGCATTTATCCTGTAGGTTCTCTATTGGCCTGGGCTATGACAAGAGACCTCTGTAAGGAGGTGAGGTAGACTTGTTTCTCTGAATTGTTTTTTCTGGTGTGGAGACACAGTTAGTTCCTTGAATGCTCCCTGTTTACTGCAAGTGAACTGAAGGAATCTGTATCTAAACAAGCTACAGAAAGCAGTGTTCCCAGCTTTTGAGCAACTATTCTTTGAAGTTTTTTAATGCGCTTTCACATGAAGCTGAAGGTATAGTTATTTTTTTTTTTATAATACCACTGGAAAAACTTGAAAAAATGAGTCTAGTACAAGAACAGTTTTCCCCATCCTTTTCTCCTCTTCCCCCAAGCTTCTATTGAGTAACTATTCCTGTTCTTCGTAGTGGTTTTCTGTAATTATTGCCAGATTTGTTTCTGAATATTTAACAAGTCTGCCTGTTAGGTACTTTTCAGTTATTTCTCATCGTCTGCGGTATGTCTGCTTTATTAAAAGCTTAATGAGATTGTGCCAAAGTGAAACATATAAGTGTTGCTATTGACAGGTGGTGATCCATTATTTACATTGCCAGTTTAAAAGAATGTGGACATAACAAGCCTAAAACTGACCATAAACCTTGATAGCATCTCACTGACACACATTTACCTGCTGTATTTTAAGATGCTTCTCATACAGGTTGCCTTACTAGACTTGAATTGTAAGGGCAGGAGGTGAAAGTAATTCTGCCAATGAAACTACTTCAGTTTCTCGCATGCAATCTTGCATTCCAGTGCTTACTACTTAGGCTTCATGCTACCAAAAAGCAATTCTCCATGGACCGTTTTTCTTTTTTTGTGAAATTATTCAGGCTAGCAAACTTGAGAAGGATGTTTAGACTTAGACGTTTATGTGTCCCAATATATCTGAGAGGATTTATAAAAGGCTTAAGACTTCTCATGTAGAATAAAGAATGGTTTTGACAAACACTCTGTAGTTCAAGAAGCAGAACATTTGTAATACATTCATGATAACATGGCAAAACATCCTGAGCAGTAAACAACATTCCATTCTTCAGAGATGAAAGGAGGTCTTTGAAACTGAAAGCAAGTACTATATGGCCTTAGGCTGATACACATTTGGGCATCTTTAAAATCATCTTTTTGTGCAACCTGTCTGAGAATAATTTAAACAGGCAGGATGTACTTTCTCATTTCAAATTGCAAATACAGACAGCTTTACTCTCAAGTAATCTTAAATGTCAGAACTTTGTGACTATGCAATGGCAAGGAGCAAATCTGTGCATAATACTCCTGTGAGCAATGGGGTCTTTTTTTAAATCTAATGTCTTGATAGATAGGTAGGATGGAAGAAGTTACTGATTATGAATGGTCCTTTGACAGTACTGAATAAAATCACTGGTGCTAACTGCATTTGTGTTTTTTAACTAAGACTTAAACTTTCCTTGAATAATGTTCTTTGTACAGTGTTTGTATCTCTTACGTCTGTGTTAGAGCAAAGTTGACTCTGTTCAGCTTCTTTTTATTGTTGCCTACTTCAGTAATTAAAGGAAAGGAATTGTTTCAAGCCATTATTGATGTAAACTGAAGCCCTAAGGTATTTGGGGAGACAGGGAAGAAATAATCAGTTACAGTATATATTTAAAAAGTGAAACTGCATAAGCAAATTTGTTACATATTTGCCTTTCTTTATTCAGTACCAAAATGTGATAGGTACTGGAAGAGTGCAGTTTAGCAGACTGGGTTGGTATGGTGTGCTACCTCTGTTGCAGTAACAGTAGGAATGAAGGACTGAGAGCAGCGTTTCCTTAGCATACCATGTTTCTTTCCTTCACAAATATATCTGTGTTTAATTGGGATGGTTCTTCAGCCCTAGGTATTTGCTTCCTCTGTACTCTGCCACCTGGTTTTGCACTTCTTCTGGAAAGTCTTTTTCCTGGGATAGTTGAATGCTTGATTCCTGCACATTCATCCTGTCTTGTTCTCTGAAATTCTTCTTTCTTTACTTGGTCTTTTAAGGAGACCTGTTACGGATTATTTTAATCTGGGAACTAGAACATGTGCTTTACAGCTAGAAGCCTGCTTACTAGCAGCCAAATCACTTTGTAGGGTGGCAGGTAGCAAATAAGGAAAGATGTTCTTGCCCACAGGAGTGTCTGTCAACTAATTTGGACCTAAAAGAAACATAAAAAGACTGAACTATATCTTGCCATGATTATTTCTTATGTATTGCTAAACTTGAAATAGCAATAGAGGCAAATCCATGAAGGTCATGGAATGAAAAAAATAAGGCTAATGCTCTAGGCCTAATTTAAAAAAAAAAAAAAAAAAAAAAAAAAAAAAAAAAAAAAAAAAGGCACCAGTATAATGGGAATGCTTTCCCTCTTCTGGTTGGAAGCACGTATTTTGCATGTTCTTTTCACTGCAACTTAACATTTGAATGGTATTGTTCAGAAAGAGTAATTTGAGAAAGCCCTGGTAAAATAATCCCCCTATTGTGCAAATGTGTTAATTGGTGCTACTTGTATTCCAGAGGTGGTAATATCTTCATCTCTCTCATTCTGGTCCCTCTGGACATTTGGATTCAATGATGGGAGAGGCTTTCAGATTTCATTCATATCTGTTTTCGGGTTTGTGTATTTGTTACCCACCTCTTTTCTTTTTTAGGGGGACATGCGTTGAGCAGTAATGAATTAAAGGGTGGAAACAATTGAAAAATAACTCCTCTTGAGAAGGGAGAACACTTCTAAAACAAATCACAAAAAAAGTAAACTTGAAGCCACAGACTTATTTTTCTGATTCTGTGTTCTGTTTCATAGTTTTTATTGGTTGGTAACATGTCCCATAATGTTTTCAATGCCGAGAAATAGTCAAGGATTATTTTGGATTAAGTTTTACTGCTTTTCTGATGACAGCTATTTTGGAAACAGCTTTGTCTTCATTCTCACTGTAACTGGAGTCTTAGAAGTTTGAAAACCCTTGCAGACATTTAAAGCTTTTTTTCTGTGAGGAAACGGGCTGCAGTTCTGAGTCCTTAAAGTTTCTTTCTTTCTATGCAAAGGTCCTGGGTCCCGGCTCAGCTTTGGCCTTAAACTGAGAGCAGTATCTTTGTGTGGTATCACACAGAAGGGTGGAAAAAATGTTTAGATGTGTTTTTGAAAGTAGAGTTAGGAGACTGGCAATTACTCTTATGGTCAGCTTCTGTGAAGGTTGTGGTTGGACCGTTCTTCTGCTTTATACAAGAAAACTTACTTGGATGCCTGGACTTCTGTATAATGTTTTTTGGGACACTGGTTGCTTCTCATCCATTTTCTGGCTCAATGATAACACATTAACTATTTGGAAGACATGAAGTCTGTCTTGCCCCAAAGTGCTGTTGGTGGTGTGTCCTTCACTTGCCTCCTTCTAGGTTTGTCACATTGACTGACTCAAGACACAGTTTTATGCCTTTTCTTTCTTTTTACCTCATCCAATGGCAAAGGAAATCTCCTCCTTCCAGATAGTTTGTGGTTGTTATGTCCCCCACCAAGACTGGCTGCTCCATTAGTAAGTGTGGGTCTTGCCTTGCCACCTATAGTCTATCTCTGCTGTGGAAACTTAGGCTTACTGCAGGTAGCTGCTACAGAAGTAAAATGATGCAGCTGATATCTTGGGGTCAGTGCAGAGCCATTCAAGTACTTTCTTTCCGTCAAACTCTTAGCTCTGTCCAACATGCATAAAATAATGTGATGCTTCCAGGGTGATGCACATCTTCCAATACAGCAGCCCTCAAATAAGCTTGTATTCTCCTTCTGGGAAGAAGTTTGGCAAGAAGAAATGGAAGAAGTGTCTTGTTTACCACAGTGATCATTGTCCCATTTTTAGTATTGATTGTGGGTGGAGAAAAGAAGCTTGTTGTCTTCTCTTTTAGGTCAAGGTGTCTGCCACATCTGATCATTGTTAGCAGAACTTAAACTTACCCTACTTGCTTTACAGCTTAGGATGCCGGTATGCATG